GATCAGAATCATGTTTTGGTCAAATACCAAACCCTGCACTAACTGCCAAGGTTCAGATGAAATCTTGGCCCCTAACCATGAGTCTGGATTTCCATCCTTTATCCCACTTGGCCTTGATTCTCAGACCACCTTCCTTCATTCGCCAGCCTGAAAGATTCCTGTTGTCACCTGTAAGCTACCATGTGATTTCTGGTTTTAAACTGGAATCTTCCTGCATGTACATATTCACTGCTGCAATGGACCAGAACACTGCTCCATTTTTATTTGTTTGCTTTCACCTATTTCCTGTTGAAGTTTCACCTCCGTCCTTCCTCAGTGAACTGACAGTAGAGTTAAAGCATAAACTCCAACATTCAAGAGAAAATGAATAGTGGAGACAAAGATCCATTAAGAAAACATTGGCTTTGGTATGAAAACTGGGTTGGTTTGAACTTTGGGTCTGAGTATGGAGCATCATCAAATCTCTACCATGCAGACAGAGGCCATTTGGCCCATCAACTCTGCATCAACCCTCTGAACAGCATCCCACACCCCATCTTCTCCCTGGAACCACGTATTTACCATAGCTAACCTACCTAGCCTACACAGCCCTGGACACTACGGGGCAATTTAGCATGGTCAATCCACCTAACCTGCACATCTTTGGACTGTGGGAGGAAACCAGAGCACCCAGAGGAAACCCACGCAGACATAGGGAGAATGTGTAACCGTCACACAGACCCAAGGCTGGAATTAAACCTGGATCCCTGGTGCTGAGAGGCAGAGATCACCACGATGTCACCATGTCACCAGACGGAATATTAAATAAAATTTGCTACTTTACCTACAAGGAACACAGAGAGGTCAAGTAAATTGCTCTCAGACATGGGAAAGACCACATAGCAAGAGGTGCTGAATCCACATGGTAATTTAAAGAACAAAGGAAATCTTGCCAATGTCTTCCAATAGTTGAACCAAGACAACTGAATATTTCTCGGAAAGCAAAGAATTCAGAGAAATCAGGAATAGTGGAGTTACAGTTGGGGACTTACATTCACAAAAGAACAGCTACTGATGATGGAATGTGTAGCAAACACAAGACACTTTCAGTAACTGGCCAGCAATTTGAGTTGCCTTATATCAAGACTTAAGGCTGTAGCGGTCTTTATTGTGAATTTTATTTGTCTTGCAGGTAAGAGACCACAAATGTTCTAAGTATGCTGTGATTACAAAATACACTTTGAACAATAAATGTGAACATTAAATCGCTATTTTAGGCCAATATTTCAGAAGTTTTTGCTACTGCTACATGCTGTGTCTTTTTGCAAAGCACCAAATTAAAATGTTTAAAATACTTGTAGGGCTTGATTGAAATATCTAAATGCAACATTTACAAAAAAAACAAAATTGATCTTGGCCAAGTCTGAGATACCTGACATCACCACCATTTCTTTGTAGATCTTAAAACAAGCAAAACAGCTACACTTTACATGCTCAAAGCTACCTGTGTGCAATAAGCAATATGATTCAAAAACGTTTTCCCTTTGAACAACATGGGCGTGGGGATTTTAAGTTGACAAACTAGGAAAGATTTGCGTATTTTACCTTGCTGTTTCCAAAACACCTCACAGCTCTTTAGAGGGATTTATCCTTGCAGTATATTGACACAACAATCACAGAAACCATTCTGCACCACCAATAACCTAAAACAGAATCACAGAATCCCTACAGTGCAGATAAAGGCAATTCAGCCCATCAAGACTGCACCGACCCTCCAAAAAGCATCTCAGACCGGACCCACCCCTCTACCCTATCCCTGTACCCCCTATTTACCATGGCTAATTCACATTGCCTGAACATCCTGCATCACTACGGGTAATTTAGCATGGCCAATCCACCTAACTGGTGGACTGGCTCTGTTGGAGTCCACACTGATTTTGCACTATTTTTCTTCTTTCATTTTGGTTTGGAGTTATAAATTAAGATAAGCTGTTACCCACAGTCCAAAAGTTGTGTTAAAAGGAAACCAGACCAAACAAAACTACTGTCTATTGATGAGTAAAAAGTTGAACAAACAAGCCACCAAATAACTAACTCTAAGAATTACATTCAAACAGGAAAATGTAAAATAAAGATGGATCAGAAAAACAGAAATAATCAGAAATGTTGCACACATATGACTGGTATGCACATCAACTATTACACTACACTGAAAATAACTGCAACCTGCAAAAATTGTATGCAGAATGTCAAACTTTGGATTGGCAGTCAATTACCTTGTCATTACAGAAGGAACTTCATTCTATATTCTGTACCTATCTACAAATATTCAACACTGACAAGTTTATAAAATGTGGAAACACACCCTACCAGAATTCCTCATATTGAAGGCAAACAACACTACAGTAATTCAAGACTGGTAATATTTCACATTAATTCACTGAATGCCTCATTTGCATTATACAACATTCTATTCCAACTACAATCAAAATGAACAGCACTTCAATCAGAAGAAAGCAATTTTATGGCGTTTGAAACATTAAATCACCACCAGAGTGTTCCCTTTTATATTGCTACCCACAATGGCGATGCAACTAGCAGACAATGTAATCTGTTATTTTACATTCTTTCGACTTATTTTATTGAATTACTTTGATTGAAGTAATTATCACATTGCCACAATACTATTGTGCTTTGAAATTTGAAAACTTAAGTAACGGCTCTCATAATTATACATAAATTTTCATTGCCGACATGCCTTTCTTTCTCTCCTTACAGCCCAACCAGACTAATGGGCGCGGGGGTGGGGGAGGGGGGGCGGTGGTGCACGGGTGGAGAAAAACATCAGGTGTACCTTTATTGTCAGTGGAACTACTGCTGCTCTCTGGTGCAGACAGCATATCCTCAAACCCCCAAGACACCATATGTTTGTTGCCAAGCAGGCAAGATGCAGAGCCTGGTCCTCCTTCCAACAGAAGTAGTCTGAGTACAAAGCAAAAGAAAAATGTTAGCTACATTCTGGTTATAGCAAAAATATACAGACATTGCTGTCAAAATAACATCATGCTTATGTCACTTGTTTTCATTAAACACAAAGATCGTACAGAACTTCAGGCTTAGACCAGATATAGGGTTTTATTCAAAAGTACAGAGATTGCTGTCAAAGTGGCATTGCTCTGCTGTTGGCTTTGTGAAAATAACATTTCACTGTCTGCCTCTCAATTGTGATGCACTGAACAGTTGACAACTGCTATATTTGTATGGTGCACAGAAAATGAAATTAGCATAGAAAGTTAAATCAAGTACTTTCAAATCTTAGTATTACATGAACATTGGAATAAGGATTACTTACTGCCAATCAAACTCTCTAAAATTGAACTACAAGTGTGGAGACTCAATCTTGTAAGTGTTAATAGTTTAGTAGTAATTTTCCATGCAAAAAAAAACCCTAAAAACCTAAACATACAAAGTAAGTCTAACTAACAGCTGAGATACTTCGATGCCAGATCCGGAAAATTACAATCCATTAATATAGTTACTATCAAATTCCAGTCTTACAAGAATGGCAGAAACAGGCAAATCAAGCTAGGAGAGGTTTTGGCTAACACTAACCAATATAGAATTAATAGTAATTACTAATAATCAGTAAAATCCTTCTCTTCCTTCCCTGCACTTCATGCTCTAAGAGGTCAAACAAAGGAGTTCTTAAACCACTTTGTAACTAGGTTACACAGGAACAAATTGGAATAAAACTTCCTCCCATGAACAAGCACCTAGCCACCATTTAGCTTCAAAACTTTGAGCTGCTAGAAAAAGACTACGGAAAAAAGAAACTTAAAAATAAAACATTATAAAAATGTGCATCATAACACCACTCTGAGAAAGGCTCAAGGTATCTTAAAATACCCATTTGGTTTTAATGTCAAAAAACTGCTGAAATCATTGAAGGTAATTTCAAAGTCCTGCTGTAAATTTAATTATTCAAAATTTTATTTCAAACTGGGGGAATGACAGCATAGATTCCTTTATCAAAAGCTTTGCATCGATAAAGAAGACAGGCCCATCAATTAAAATTACAGGTACAATTCATACTTAGCTTTCACAGGGGCCAACTGCCATGAGCGCCCACAGGATCCAAGGAAATTTGGTTAATTGGATCCAGAATTGGAGGAAGCAGAGGATGGTGTTCAAGGGATGTGTGTGACTGGAAGCCTGTGGCCCAGTGGATTTCCGCAGAAACCAGTGTTGAGGCCCTTGCTGTTTCAGGTATATATGGATGATTCAGACTTGAATGTAGGAGGGCCGATCAGCAAGTTTGTGGATTGTACAATGTAGGTGGTAAATAGCAAGGAGCATAGTCTTAGATTTGGGGAATGTACAGATGGGCTTGTCAGATTGACTGATCAGTGGCAAATGGGATTCAATCCAGATAATTGCGAGGTGATGAGCTTGGGCAGGACAAACATGGAATGGGAATACAGGACGAACAGTAGAACCCTGGGAAGCACCAACAATCACAGCGACTTTGGTGTGCATGTGCACCAGTCCCTTAAGATATCAGGATAGGTGGGTAAAGTGGTAAAGAAAGCATATGGGATACTTGCCTTTATTCGCCCAGGCATACAGTTTAAGAGCAGGAAGTTGTGCTGGAATGGTTTCAAACATTGGTTAGGACACAACTTGTGTATTGTGGGCAGTTCTGGAATCCATGTTAATGAGGAGATGTGATTGCACTGGAGTGGGTACAAAAGAGATTTAAACAGGACCACTGTGTGGGCTGGAGAGTTTTAGTTCTGAAGCAAGATGGAGTGGTTTTCATTAAAGCAGATGAGACGGAGGGGCAGACATGACTGAAATTAATAAAATTATGAGGGACATCAATAGGGTAAATAGAAAGGAACTCTTCCTCTTGATGGAGGGATCAACAATGAGGGGCACAGTTAAATGTAATGGACAGGAGACTTAGAGGGTATGTAAAGGGAGAAAAGTTTTATCTTGAGGGTGGGAGGAAGTGGAGCTTGCTAGTTGTAAGAGCGGTAGAGGCAGAAACTCTCATAACATTTACGAACTGTTTAGATGCGTGCTTGCAATGCCAAGGCAAACAAGGCTATGGACCAAGTCCTGGCAAATGGGATTAGAATAGCAAGGTGGTTGTCTTGACTGATGCAGACTCCATGGGTTGGAGAACCTTTTCTTGTGCTGTGGACCTCTGACTCTGACTTCCAAGAAACACTTGCGCAATACAAATGCTAGGCAAAGACAATCTTCAGTAAGAGATACCATCTAACCATTGCTATTTGACCATCACTGAATCTTCTAATATCAACATTTTGGAGGTTATCATTAACCAGAAACTGAACTAGACAAACATAGTGACTACTAGGACAGGAAACTTGCACTGAGTAACTAACCTCCTGGCTCCCCAAAGCATGCCCATCATCTTTTATGGCACACGTCAGGCATGTGATGGAATACTCTCTGCCTGCCTGGATGAACACAGCTCCACTAAACACTCAAGACGACACCTTCCAGGACAAAGCAGCCTGCTCGATTGTAACCATATCCACAAATATTCACTTGCTCCAGCACCAGTGCACGGTATCAGCAGTGTATGCCATCTACTAGACACATTACAGATATTCACCAAAGATCCTTACTCAGCATGTTCACCAGGTGAGATAAAACTGAGACGTCAATCTGGTGAAGCTACCGAACAGTATTACTCGCATGCCAAACAATGTAAGCAGCAAATGACAGACAAAGATAAGCTATCCCACAACGAAAAGATCAGATCTAACCTTGGCAATCCTGGCACATCCGGTCATGAATGGTGGTGGACAATTATTCACTTCACTGGAGAAGGCATCTCCACAAATAATCCCATCCTCGATGGAAGAGCCCAACACATCAGCACGAAAGATAAGTCTGAAGTATTCGCAGCCAGAAGTCCCAAGTGGGTGATCCATCATGGCCTCCTCCAGTGTCCCCAGCATTAAGATACCTGTCTTCAACCAATTCGATTTGATCGAAGGCAGAAGATAGCCTAAAGGTATAACTACTAATGTGATGATCTTGTGCCTTTAAAAGATGTGCTCTGTCCTGTTTCTCTTACAGGGGTATTGTTACAACCATGTCAAAATGTCTCCTTCCGACTGGCAGTCGGTAAACAGCTTTGAGTTCTCCCTTGGTGGATTTTTTTAATAAGACAAAACAATCACGAACGATTCTGAAGGAAGAGTCCTGACCCGAAACATCAACTTTCCTGTTTCTCTGATGCTGCCTGGCCTGCTGGGTTCCTTCAGCTCCACACTCTGTTAACGAAGAATCATGAATGGGCAGGGTCAGGCTCATACAGATCCAAAAGGATTTTGGTTTTGCTTTCAGTTAGTTGGTGGTTTTTGCTGGTTGCTGTGTCTGTCCATCCATCTGTGTGCACCTGGTCCAGAAGACTAGACTATTAATCAAGAAACTCAGCTTTGTTTTGGGGCTCCAGGTTCAACTTGAATTCAATTTGAAAACAATCTGGAATCAAGAACCGACTGATGACGATGAATTTATTGCCTTTTGTCAGAAAATCCCTTCTGGCTCACTTCATCCTCACCTGAACTGGCCTACATGCGACTTCTGACCCACAGTAATGTGGTTGACTCTCAACTGCCTTCTGAAATGACCTAGCAAGCTACTCCTTCATGGGCAGCTCGGAGTGGGAATTAAAGCTGGCCAGCCAGTGATGCTCATGAATAAAAGAAAAACTCACTAAGTGACATAAAGAAACAGCTGGAGGCATTGGATAGTGCAAAGGCTATGGGCCCTAGCAATATTCCAGCAATAATACTGAAGACTTGTGCTCCAGAAAGTGCCGGTTTCCTAGTACAGTTACAACAGTGGCATCTACCCCACAATGTGGAAAATTGCCCAGGTACATCCTGTACACAAAAAGCACGACAAATCCAACCAGGCGAAGTACCACCCCATCAGTCTACTCTCAATCCTCAGTAAAGTGATTGAAGGTGTTATCACAGTACTATCAAGCAGCATCTACTCAGCAATAAGCTGCTCAGTGATGCCCAGTTCGGATTCCGTCACGGCACTCAGCTCCTGACCTCATTACAGACTAGGTTCAAACATGAACAAAACAGCTGAATTCCAGAGGTGAGGCGAGTGTCCAGCCTTTGACATGAAGGCCGCATCTGACAAGAGTAAGAATCATAGAATCCCTACGGTGTGGAAACAGGCCCTTTGGCCCAACGTGTCCACACAGACACAAAGAGCGTCCCACCCAGACCTATCCCCGTAATCCACACATCCCTGAACACTATGGGCAATTTGGCATGGCAAATCCACCTAACCTGCACATCTTTGGACTGTGGGAGGAAACCGGAGCACCCAGAGGAAACCCATGCAGACACAGGGAGAACATGCAAACTCCACACAGATAGTCGCTCGAAGGTGGAATCGAACCCAGTTCCCTGGCGCTGAGGCAGCAGTGCTAACCACTGAGCCACTGTGCCCAAGGAGTCTTAGCGAAAACCGGAATCAGTGATATCTGAGCACAAATTCTTCGCTGGCTGGAGTCATACTGGCATGTAGAAAGACAGTGGGTGTTGTTGGACATTAGTCATCTTAGCTCCAGGACATCTCTGCAGGAGTTCCTTAAGGTAGTGTCCTTGGCCCAAACATCTTCAGCTGCTCCAACAATGACCTTCCCCACACAAGGTCAGAAGTGGGGATATGTGCCGAGTACAGCATAATAATAAGCACCACCTAATCACTCCTCAGATACTGAAACATGTTGGGCTAACAAACAGCAAGTAACATTCACAAATGCCAGGAAATGGCTGTTTCAAGAGATAAACTAACCACTGCCCCATGACATTGAAATGGTGTTACCAGCACTGAATCCCCCACTATCAATGAACTTGGGGTCACCACTGACCAGAAACTGAACTGGATTCATCACACAAACAAACAGTGTTTGCATGAACAGGTCAGAGGCTAGGAATACAGTAACAGGTAAGTCATCTCATGACTCCCAAAAGCCCATCCACCATCTACAAGGCACAAGTCAGGAGTTTGAAGGAATACTCCCCACTTGCCTGAATGGGTGCAGCTAGACCTGCTTGACTGGCACCACAACCACAAGCACCCACACAGAGTGATGGTGGAGGGCTATCTGCTGGGCCAGAGGACTGTGACCAGCGATGTTCCACAGGGATCAGAAGTGGATCCACTTCTATATGTCATTTCTATAAATGATTTAGATGAGAATGTAGAAAACATGGTTAATAAGTTTGTGGATGACACCAGGATTCATGGTGTTGTGGACAGTGAAGAACACTTTCTAAGATTACAAAGAGATCTTGTTCAATTGGGTCAATAGGCTGAAGAATGGCAAATGGAGTTTAATTTGGATAAATGCAAGGTACTGCATTTTGGTAAAACAAAGACAAGACTTATACAATTAAAAGTAGGGCCTTGGGCAGTGTTGTAGGGGTTCAGGTACACAATTCTTTGAAGTGTGCACTACAGATAGATAGAGTGGTTAAGGCAATGTTTAGCATGCTTGCCTTCATTACTCAGACCTTCGAGAATAGGAGTTGGGACATTTATGTCAAGGTTGTACAGGCCTCAGTGAGAACTGTGTCCAGTTCTGGTCTATCTGTGATAGGAAGGATATGTTAAACTGGAGAAGTTTAAGAAATTTACCACGATGTTACCAGGAATGGATGGTGTGAGTTATAAACAGAGGCTGGATAGGCTGGGATTCTTTTCCACTCGAGAATAGCAAATTGAGAGGTGGCCTTAGAGGTTCATCAAATAATGAGGGGTATAGATAAGGTGGCTGGCAAGTGTCTTTTCCCTACGAGGGGATTTCAAGACTGGGGGGCATATTTTTAAGGCGAGAAGAGAAAGATTTAAAAAAGACATGAAGAACAATTGTTTTTATAAACAGAGCAGTTCATGCGTGGAATGAACTTCCAGAGGAAGTGCTGGATGTGGGTACAGTTACAACTGTTAAAAGACATTTAGCTAAGTACATAAAATAAGAAATGTTTGGAGGGATATGGGCCACATGCAGGCAGGTGGGACTAGTTTAGATTGGGATTACGGTCGGCATAGACTGGTTAGACCAAACAGTCTGTCTTGTGCTCTATGACTATGACTATGACCATATCTACTCCCTCCACTGCTGACAGACAGCAGCAGCATCACCTACAAGATGCACTGCAGAAACTCACCAAAGATCCTTAGACAGCACCTTCCAAATGCACAACCACTTCCATCTTGATGGACAAGGCAGCAGATACATGGGAACACTACCACATGCAAGTTCCTCTCCTTGCTTAAGCAAGGAGGCCAAATCACTACATATTACTCCAGAATGTGGTCCCACCAGCACACTCTAACTGCAACACATCGTCCTCACTTTTACATTTAATTCCCTTGAAATAAGTAATTCATTTGGCTTCCCAACCACTTGCTGTACCTGTGCACCAAATTTTTGGGACTCAAATGGAAAGGCTGGATATGTTGGGACTTTTTCCCTCCCTGGAGTGTCAGAGGCTGAAAGGTGACATTCTAGACCTTAAAATTGTGAGTGCATAAGTAAGGTGAATAGCCAAGGTCTTTTCCACAGGGCAGTGGAGTCCCAAAGTAGAGAGCATAGGTTTTAGGAGACTTGGGAAAGATTTAAAAAGGACCTGAAGGGGCATGTTTCCACAGAGAGGGTGGTACGTATATGTAACAAGCTGTCAGAGGAAATGGGAGAGGTAGGTACAATTACAACATTTAAAAGACATTTGGACAAGTATATATAGGAAAATTTAGAGGGATATGGGCCAAGCGCAGGCAAACGGGACTAGTTCAGGTTAGAGTCGGGCCGAAGGACCTGTTTCCGCATTGTTTGACTCTGTACCAGGACACACAGGACCCTTCAGAGTTTTGCAATTTCTTTCAATTTAAAATGTTTTTCCAATTCTCTAGTCAAAATTAATAAGTTCATATTTTCCATTATATTCTGTTTGCTTAATCAAGTAACCCAAATTTCCCTTTGCAGATCCTTACGGACTCTTCACAATTTGTATTACTTAATTTGTGCCATCAGCAAATTTAGCAACCATCAATTCAAGTGCAAGGAGGGGAGACAGAGAGACAGACGGTGGGGGCATGGGGAGTAGCATGAGGCGGGATGGTGGGCCAGGAGCATGAGTTTGGGGGATGGTGGAGGAGCACACTCAATTCAGTTTATCAGACACAATTTACCTTCAATAAATCTGTACAGACTGCAACTTATTGATCTATCCTTTTTCCCACTAACCATTTTACCCCTAAAAATGTTCATCCATCACCAACTTTAAAGGTAACAGATCTGAAATTACCGAAAATATCCCTTTTCTATTTTGAGTAGGGGATCCATCATTTGTAAACCATTTTCACTCTGATGTTCAGGCAGGATTGAAAAACTGGTAAAGTTTCATTATTATGGCCCCTACTTCCCTCAGATTGCCTCCCATCTAGAAAAGGTGACTTTTCAAGTTTGAACAACACAGATACTGTACTGCCTCTTCAATTTTATCCTACTCAACATCACTACATTCTTCTTTACCAAAGATTATGCTCGTCTTCACAAAAGAGAATGCTCCTAAATTATTACATCAGCCATACCCTCTGCCTCATATGAACATTTTGTTCTAGAATTTGCCCTGACATCCTTTTACTATTTCCAAGTGTTTGTTTACTTTTACACCACACACTAATCTATCCTTGCATGCTCTATTTACCTCACTTGTTACTTCTCAGCTGTCCTCTGCACTCTGTATCTAGCTTGATTCTCTAAAGTATTATGAATGCAATATGTCATGAGTCTCCATTTCCTGTTTCATTTTAATTTCTGTGTCTTTAATAGTTTTAGTTCTGAATGCCTTTTTCCCCATCAATACCGCATGACTTGCTGAGTGTTAGAGCATTGCAGAAGATTCTACATACCTGAAAA